ACACACACACACACACACACACACACACAGAACTAGAACATGGGCAGCAAAGATAGAAGAAGTGAAAGAAAATGAATTCCTCACCAAGAGCAAAAGCAAAGACAGAAACAGAGTAAATAAAAAAGTGAGACCTTACAAGAGGGAGGAGAAGGGGGGAGAGGAGGTAGGAGGGAAGGAAGGAAGGACGGAAGGAAGGAAGGAAGAGAGATCGTACACTAAACAGGATTTAAACATTAAAACATGCATTCAGGAGGCAAAGGCCTGGTGCCTGGCCATTCCTTTGCCATTTAGCTCAAAACACAAACTAATGGTTTGCAAAGACCTCTGAGGTCTCTCTCACTGCTGAGGATTAGTGGCCAGAGCGGTGCCTATTATGTAGAGCCTGGCACTAAGTGGAGTGGAGTGTAATGTGTGTGTGTGGGGGGGGCAGGGAGTAAACCAGCTCTAAAATGACTCAAAAGTACACGGTTATTGTATTTAAGATGGTCCCCATGATTGCAGTTATAGGAAGCCATCCAACCAGCTTCTAATACTGTTATTTTACACTTTACATGATCAATCTGAAAACTATGCAGAATCCTTTATACTATTTCTGTTCCATGCTTACATGTATGCCCCCCCCCCCCCCACCAGAGGGGAGGTAGAGAAGGAGGCAGGAAGGGGGAGAGAGTAAATTACTTCCCAATACATATCTTCAGAGAGAGAGAGAGAGAGAGAGAGAGAGAGAGAGAGGAGGAAGGGAGAGGGAGAGAGGGGAGGGAGGGAAGGAGGAAGGGAGAGAAGTTGGAAGAGGAGTGAAGGAAGGAGAGATGGAGGGAGAAGGAGGGAGAGGGAGAGGGAGATGAAGAGAGAGAGAGGAGAATCATATCTCAATACATACCCTTTAAATCCCTTTAAAAGAGAATTTGCTGAACCAGTAAAGAGAAACCCCAAGGTCCTGGATTGCAGTAGATATTTCCTTCCTGCTGGCTCTCCAACCAGATTGACATGACAACCCTCAAAAAGAAGAGGCATTGACTTTAACCAAGGCTCTGGCTTCTTGACAGAGCGCTTTGCTGAGCTGTTATCTGGGGGTTGAAAGGAAATTACCACCTCCCTGGTCAACAATGGCCTCCTGGAAACAAAGTTTCTTTCTTCTAGAACACAGGCTCCACTCAGGCTGATTAGCCTCCTTAGATGCCTAGGAGAAGTGAGAGTTTCTGTCTAAATTCAGGTAATTTTGTTTCCAATTGAGAAGGTTTGCTGGCACATGGAAAGGGAAAGCCAGTAAAAGCATAAATTCATAGTGGGAAAACCAGCAAACCACATCTGCCTTCAGCCTTGCATAACTGGCAATTTAATGCCCAAATGATCTCATTCCAAAAAAGCATTCCTAAAACATAACAACGTATGTTAGGGTTCAAATCCATCCATCTTGAGTTTCAACACTTCTTTTCCTAAAACCTGTACACGCCAACTTGTCCCACGGGTATCCCTGTGTATCTAGTAAGAAATTGCCTTCCATCAGCTGGCTTTCTCTGCAGACAATACTGTACACAGAACCCATCTAGGTACCAAGTCAAGTATTACAGAATGGGCAAAAGAAACAGCAAACAAAACAGGATGGCAGAGAATGCTGATAACCAGTGCCCTTGGCTCTCAACTGTAACTCTAGCCGAGGAGCCTAGGACATTGAGGTCTGAGAATCATGGTTTGAAGCCAATCAGGGAAGGAAAGTCCTTGAGATTCTATCTCCAATTAAGCAGCAAAAAAAGCTGGACTTTTTAAGTGTGGCCCAAATGGTAGAGCACGCTATTGTGAACAAAAAAGCCTACAAGAGCTTGAGGCCCTGAATATAACCAACACACATACACACACACACACACACACACACACACACACACACACACACACACACACACACACACACGGGCCTCTCTTGTTCTGAACAGGAAAGATTGGTGCGGGGAGAGGGTAGGACCTCTTGAAGAATAGGATGGGAGATTATTTTAAAGGAAAGGCTTTTTAAGTCTCAGACAGCATGGGCTCCAGTTACCACTAAAAGCCTTTGTTGCACCTGAAACCTGAGTTTGGGCATCCTGTCATTAGTTCAGCAGGACAATTAAAGGCATAAGTAATGGTCTAAGAAGACCTGTGAGAGTCTGTGTCCAGGCCATAAGAGACCATGCTGAACTCACACTCCCCATTACCCAGATGTAATTGTTAGAGGAGCTGTTATTTATGGACCACTTGCTACAAATGGTGATTTCTTTCCCAAAGCAATTGCTTTGAATTGTGATCTTCCCCTTCTTCTTGAGTAGCTAAGTTTACAGCTGTGAGCCACTGTGCAGGGAAAAGGTTTCTTCTAAATGGGTGCACAGAGAGCTTCACACCATGGTTTCTGAGATCATCTGGTTGAGGTAAGGCTGTGTCACTTACTCATTCTTTGGCCCTTCCTGAATCCATGGTTGAGCTGGCTACACAGCAGACATTGGGTTTTCCCTCCAAGAGAAGGCCATGGAAAAGACTATGAGGTAGCACAAAAGCAAGTTCACCTTGAATGGGTATGTCCTAACAAATGACTTGCTTCTTTTCCTGCGCTCCAATGCCAAGAACTGCTTATATTCATTCCGTGTAAATCAACAAAAGGATATTAGGTAAAGTAATGTTTCTCTGCTTAAAAAATTGTCAAGTTTTCCTTTGGGAAAAGCTATATTGGGAAAAGCTCTTTGTCATTCTCAAATTACATTCAGGTAAATTAAAGATATAGAGATTATTTCATAAACATTGTCTTTTCTTCAAGGAGGTTTAGGAAGAATAAAAAATGGACATTAAAATTCATTTAAAAGGCATTCAAGAATTCTATTTTCAGATCTTAATTCTCTTAAGTTCTTTGTAGCTATATATTTTCCCCAAATTGGTGTGAGATAAACCCAAATAGGAACAAAAAGTGTTGCATTTCATTAAAAAATTCAAAGGGAAGCACTGTAATATATAGCCAGTACGATAAATGACTAGTAGCTTTATTTTGTGAAGTGAGAGTCCAAACAGATATAATAAAATAAATGAGCTAATGAGTTAAAATAAACGAGGTAAGTAAGTTAAAATAAATGAGTTAAACAAGTGAGTTAAAATAGATGAGATAAATAAGTTAAAAATAAATAAGATAAATGAGTTAAAAGACTCAGCAGATGGACTTTAAAGACTAATACAGCTAGAAAATCATCCTACGTTTCCAATAATATGAGCAGAGAAAATTAATACATGTATGCTTCTAGTCTGAGAAGTTATAATTAAATGATCATTTCCCTAATTTAAGAAAGAAGAAAACTGAATCCCAACTATTAAAGAAGAAGAGATAGAAGGACCACAGTCTGGGCAAAAGCACGAAAACCTACTTGTACAACGAACTTCAAAGAAACTAGCATGGGGCCCATCCAAATGGCCCAAGTGGTAGAGCACCTGCTTTACAAGGGAAAGCCCTAAATTTAATCTCCAGGACTTCCAGCACACAACCAAAAAGGAGAACAGTTTAGGCTTTGTTTTTGTTTTTGGTGTTCAAATAAAACATAATTGAGAAACCTAAGCAAATTGGATTCCATTCCCAATATTTGAAAGGGTGAGTCTGGGACATTGGACTGCTTGTCCTCTACTTTCTGTTTCTTAGAGACTTTTCAGGAGACATTGTGGGCTTCCTGTTTCTTTGGATCATAGGCAAAAGGCCGTCATTTATTACAGCACACTGTATTGACAAAGCACTGTCAATGACCACATTCCCATATGTCAGCAGGATTCTAAATGGCTCCAACTACTTTGAGGAGCAATCCTGAAATGCACCATTAAAAAGTTACAAAGAATATATATTACCTACTGTTTCCTTTCTCTTTTGAGACCTCCTACTGGCCATATTGCATGAAGACTGACCATAGCATTACTAAAGTGACAGAAGTTTAGGGGAAAAAGTATATGTATTCACCCATTTCTTATTATATAACTGAGTGAACAACTCTTCAAGAAAAGCTTATGATACTATTCAGGGTTAAGGGCTGTATGAGATCGTCAGGTAGCACCTACTGTGCCCTGTGCTATTTATCATCATGGAACCTCATTAAAAGTATCTTTAACATTAGTTAAGGACTAAGTTAATTTAAGGTAATTTTCTAAGTTAACTTAGTCCTCAACTAATGTTAAAGATACTAAGTTAATTTAGAAAATTAATTTAGAAAATTAACTTAGTCCAGATAATTACCAAAGAACACACTGGAAGCTAGAACAGAAAATAAATGAGGTTGCGTGATTAGAATTGTTGGTTGTTCCACGAAGTCTGAACAGCCAGAAGTCTGCTGCTCAGTCCCCATGGGATGACATCCTAGACCGACATTTATGAAGGGACTGACATTGACCTGATTAACTTCTTTGCAACTTCAAGAATGTTTATGAAATCAGAATGCAGAAAAAAATAAGCATTTGAGAAGATACAAGACCAGAGAAAGGAAAATAGCTGCTGAAGGCAAAAAGAAAGCAAACAAACCCATAAACTACAGGCTCTTGAACCTCTTTGCTTACCTATTTCCTGGGTTGTGGCAATCGATCAAATGACTGAGCACTCTAAGTGGGAAAAGGAGTAACTCAAAGCTAAATTTCTTCTTAAACTAGAACAAAAAGATATGCTAATGCAATCGTTTATATAAACGAAAAATAACCAGTGCTATAAGTTGTTTTTAGAAAGATTACTTTAAACTTGGAATGGTTGATTTATGTAAACACAGTGTGCATCTGATTTCACAATAGAAAATCTGATTAGACCCAGATTGAAATGGATTGCTCTGTCCTGCTAGGATAGAACAAAGCATATTACTAGCACTTTCCTGGAGACCCCTCCCTGTATTTTCTGTGATTGTTTTCTACTTATTTGTCCTTGGTGTATGACAGACATCTTTGTATCTCAGCTAAATTGTTCTGGAAGAATATGGAATGTAAGAAATAAATGGTTTCAGTTCTTGCAGAATGCTCTCTCTTACCTTAGGTTGCTTGCAAAGGTAGCGGCAAAGTTCTCCAATATACTGAAACACAGTCACGTTATACTTCTTGCAGTCAAGCCAGAACTGGCTTGCTGAGAACTTCTTCTTTAACACACAAGTGGCACCTATGAGAAAAGGCAAAACAGGAACTAGGGGAAAACCTCATGGGATGAATTAACATGAAATCCAAACCATGTTGTTCTTGTCTAAACATGTTTGCTCACTTCCTGAGCTTTTATAATTTATCATCAACTTATGTTTAGACCACGCTTTCTTAAAAATGTAGGTTTTATTGCCCAATAACTTAAAAAATATTTCTGCCATAGAGCCATCCTTTCACAGCAAATATTACCTTTTGCAATACATGGGATGAAAGCAAGAGCCAAAATAAGTAGAAGATTTACAAGTAGTAGAGTTCCTCGCAAGAGGGAGAGGACACAGAGAGAGGGTAACGAAGCTGAATTGTGGCCAAAACAGACAGACTGTTTTAAGAAGTGGGGTAGGAAAGGGAGACAGTAGTAGAGGGTTGGGGTTGACGGGATATGTGGTGTGTATGTTTAGAAATGTCACAACAACTAAGAGATGCTAACAAGATAGTGAAAATAATATTGCGAAGCACTGGCCTCTACCACTGTAAACAAACATAAATGAACACTACGTAGGTACTATTTCTGTTGTATTTTATTCACGCTAAATGTTATTACTTCTAATCAGCAGGATGGAGGGATAAAGAGGGGAGTGTTGATCAACAGGTATAAATTATAATTGAACAGACAAGAAGATCTTTGCTATTTATTACTCAGATAATGATCATGTAAATTTCAAAATAGTTGAAAAGAGGATTTTGACCATAAAGAAATGCTAAATGTTTGAGGGGATAGATATGTTTCACGGAATGTAAACATTATGTACTGAATACACATTTATCAAAAACATCTCATCATCTCCCATTTAAATGGATTTCATGAAAAAAATGATTTGAAAAATTAAAAATGTCGCTTCTCTAAAAGTAAAAAATTCATTTCCTTTTCTTAGGAACATTTTTCTTCCTTCCTGGATTTCCATGCAAACATACAGATCATTAGACAATGAATTTGTTCCAAACAAATGACTAACTCTCAGCATTCATTCATTCTTTTTTACTTCACTATATCATGATTACTTCCCTTCTGTAAATACTGTGGTATAATTATGCAATGCTCACATTCACAAAACTGCTGGTAGTTTTGAAGGTTGACGAACACAGATTCTAATTATAAATGATTACACAAAGTAAAACTTAACAAAAAGAAAAGAAGAACTTACCCAACTCAACACAACCACTTATGCCTAGAAGAGCCCCTGAACTATGATAGAGAGGCAGGGTTATATATACAATGTCCTCAGATGTACAACCGAAAGCCCACAGTCCAGCTGAAGCCTTTATCGCCTGCAACTGAGTAATCACAGCTGCTTTTGGTAGACCTGGAGGGCAAGAAAAGAAAAGGTTATACACATACACACCACCACCACCCCCCCCCCAACAAAAACAACGATGTGAAGCTTTCTGAAGAAATGATATCTCCATTAAAGACCCTGAAAACTGTTTGACCTAGGCCTAGTAAACTGGTGTGATTATGGAGAAATTGAAGGTTGTACATAGAGAGACAAAATGATCTTGGGCTACCAGAAGCTTTAGAAAAACAGGGCTTTATTTTAGCCATGTAATCTAAGCTAACATTCTCATGACTATGAGGCAAAACTTGGACTATATGGTTAAGCTTAGCAAACCTGTGGCCTCCATCAACCTGATGTATATTAAGAAAGCTGTATGACAATACCTAAAACCTACAGGAAAAATCTCCCCACATAGTCTCCTACCTATTTCCTACATATTTGTTCAGGTAGTCATTTATGACCTGTCTTGTTTTGTGGCTACAAAATTTCACATAATCTCCCCATGCCATTCACGGTACCTTGAATCTGTTTCCAGGCCACAGTCACTCATACTTGACTCAGAATATTCATCATTCCTCTAAAACACAGTTGTTATTTTATGCCATAAATGTGTGTATGTGAAGCAGAAAGAACAGCTATGCCACTTTCAATTACATATGCAGTTGACACAACGTACATCATGCTAGGGGCTTTTAAAAAGAAAAGCATATGATCATATAAAATGATGCGTATCAAAGTGAACCACAAGAAATGGAAACGAGGGTTTTTTAATTGTACTGTTTGTGGTTCTTGGTTTTTCTTTTATTGTTCTTTTTTTCCCTCTTCTGTCACTGTTACTGATTTCTGTACCTTCTGTCTTGTATGTAAGTTTATCTGAATTGGGGAGTTGAAGGGCAAGCCCAGACACTGTGGGTCACAGGGTGAACTGATTCAGCAGATACTCACTAGACAGAGGGGAGGCAGGAGGGGAAAGACTGGGAGAAAATGAGGGAGGGGGTAACACTGTTCAAAAAGAAATGAACTCATTACTTGATGTATGTAATGGTAAACCCTCTGTAGATCATCTTTACAATAAAAATAAGAAAAGAAAAGCAGCCATGCAAATGACAATTGCTGGAATTAAGTTTTATAATCTTAGATCTACCCAGAAAGATCAAACGAAAAATTTGGAATAACATAATTTTAAAGGGCCATACATGCTATAAATATCTCAAAACTGAAAGTGTTCACTAGCCAGTGACATCAATCACAATGCAAATCTCAGTTATATTGGAAATAAGTTTTCCAGAAAACAAGTCCAGCCCCAAGTAAGACTCTCCATTGTGAGCCATCCTTTTTGTCTTGTTAATATGTCCTAAAATACAATCATTACTGAAAATAGGGTCATATGATACAATGTTGAAATTGTTCCATGTGTTTCTGAGCCAAGCACAGTTTTCCCTTTTCCATCTACTCTTCCACACACAACTTACTTTTAATAATGATTTACAGTTGTAATTAATATAGAAAGAATTTGCATCTTGGGCTGGGAAGGTGGCTCAGTGGTAGAGTGCTTGCCTTGCATGCATGAGGCCCTGGGTTCGATTCCTCAGCACCACATAAGCAGAAAAAAAAAAGCCAGAAGTGGCACTGTGGTTCAAGTGGTAGAGTGCTTATCTTGAGCTAAATTGCTGAGGGACAGTGCCCAGGCCCAGAGTTCAGGCCCCGTGACCGGACCCAAAAAAAAAAAAAAAAGAATTTGCATCTTGCTGTTGCTACTTAGCATATTGTAGACCAGATATCTTTTTCATATTGTCATAAAGTCTTCTGCATTTATAGTATCAATGCCACAAATCCAAGTCTTAATTAGATAAGTTGACTAACATGACATTGGCATGTTTATGGTTAAATGTTAGTAGTTTTATGTATTTTAACAGATAGTTCCTTACAGTGGAACACAACTTACTGTCACATTGACAAGTATCATCTCTTGAACTATGTATTAGATTTAACTATATTCCAATCATATTCTGTGACTGGAAGGATTCTAGTATTTTTAGAATGTCTCCGTGCAGAAGTTCCCATTGTATATCTCCCTCACTTGCTCAGCATTCCTGAGCACAAGGCCTAGGGGTCAATCCCAAGTATAACAAAACCAAACAAATCTGTCTCATCAATGAAATTGCCTGGCTTTATATAGTGACAAGGGTTATCATTAAGATTTCCTGAGACCAATGCCAGAGGAGCAAACAGAAGGATAATGAATCATGAGATGCAGAAAATTGATGTTGAAGAAAGGCACCGGTGGCTCACACCCGTACTCCTAGCTACTCAGGAGGCTGAGATCTGAAGATCACAGTTCCAAGCCAGCCCAGGAAGGGAAGTCTGTGAGACTCTTATCTCCAATGAACCACCAGAAAACCGGAAGTGGTGCTGAGGCTCAAGTGGTAGAGCACTCATCTTAGGCTGAAGAGCTGAGGGACAGTGCCCAGGCCCAGAGTTCAAGCCCTACAACCCACAAAACAGAAAGAAAGAAAATTGTTGAAGTGTTAGCCTAGTCAATATCCCATGTACTGACTCAGCCCACTTAGTAGTCAGTCCAGCGAGATCTCGCTCCTAAAGCCAATGGCTCTTGAGAATTTGATGCACTGGAACCGACTTTATTTCCCTATTCTAGAAATCAAGTGCTTAACCTGAAAATAAGTCTCCCAGACTTTGGATACGTCCTACTATTATTGGCTTGTGCAGGAGTAGAATCTTGTGTTAAAATATACTCTCATGTCTAATGTCTCAGTTTTATAGCCCAGTTTCTCTGCTTCACTGCCTGTTTCTCTGGTTCTGTAATATATTCTCTCTGTCTCTGTCTTTCTCTCCCTCTCTCTCTCTCTCTCTATATATATATATATATTCTATAATATATAACATGGTCTTCTATAACCAAAATGTTTATACTTATACTTTATAGACAACTGGACCATAGTCTTACATAGAATAGGATATCATTCTCTCCCTAGGTCCAACATATTTATCGCTATAAGCCAAAGTTTTCCCAGGCTTTTTGGTTGCAGCAGGAAAACAAGGTATGAACCACAGTTGATAGTGACTTCTAGACGCTCTTATCAGCAAGTGTCAAGTCTACTTTGTTCTGTACCTGCCCTGATACTTTATGGCAGACTGTGTGCTCCGTGTCTGTTAACCAGTTCCAATCGGATTGCACATGTGAAGTAGGCATTGCCTTGCCTATTTTCCTAAGTAAAAATCTATCTATAAATATTTCCAAAGTAGGTCTCTGAAGCTGTTCCCAATAGCTGGAATTTGACAACTTGAAAGAGTTTGTTGTCACTCAAACATCGATATTATCTTCAAATTTCCTCTTCAAGATCACATATAAAAATATCTAATGAGATACTTGATGTCAGTATAACATGTGGAGGAGACGGGGACAAACAAGTCATTTAAGGATTCAGGTGGACCTGTTGCAACAATGAGAAGTACAAAATGTCATGTCAAAACCAGCTTTACAATGTCGGTGTGGGGGGGGGGGAGGGGGGATATGATTGGGTGGGGGGGGAGGGGGGAGGCTGGGAAAGGAGGTGAAGGGTAAACAAAGGAGGAGGCTGCAATGCTTGGTAAGAAATGTATGCATTATCCTGCCCATGTACAGTATGTTCTCAAATAAAATAAAATAAAATTAAAAAAATAAATAAAAAGAAGTGGGCAACACTCTCATATTGAGTCTTCTATAGGTGTACAGAGAAAAAGAGGGAAGTTTAGTGAGTATAACATCCTCATAACTAATGCCAGAATTGCGATGAAAATCACACGTTTACAATTAAGACAGTAGATGAGTTGAACTGCTAATTTTTGAAAATATACTACACATTATAATACATACTAGAATCCAATTTTTATCTAAGTTTATCAAGGACATTTCTGAATACATTATTCATGTGTATCCTCTACATTGAAAAGAGAGAAAGAGAAAAAATGTGTGTGTGAGAGAGAGAGAAAGAAGAGCGAAACTCACAAAGACAAATCAATGTACTTTCACTGTCTACTCTGGGAGCTGACATTAGAATTCACATATGTTTAAATTGCAAGATGATATTGGCTCTATGCACTGACAAATTTTTCTCTACTCTAAATGTAAACAAAAGTAAAGTAATCCAATTTGACATCTATTAAATATTTGAATACGTTAAAAAAAAATATCTAATGAGAACTGGGTGAACCTTGGCTGTTAAGAATCAATGTCTTTCTACGCTTCATACAGAACAGCAAATATTTATGCCTTTCCTGCTTCAAAGCCATTCCCTGACATGATTCTACCCTATTCTCTACAGCATCCTTGGGCCTCAGCTCTGAGTAATCTTTTAAAATAATAACTTTTCCCTTGGAAGCTTATCAAGGAAAGAATGATAGATCTAGCTATTCACCCATTTAAAGCACCATTAATTACTTTTTAGATACATTTTCCTTTCTTATTTAGAACTTTTAGGTGGATAATCATTTCACTAATTTAGTATAGACTGTAAAAAGTACTTGTGAGATTTTTTTTATAAAAGAAGAAATGTCTAACAAATGAAAAAGTTTAAATGAGTTTAAAATGTGAAAGAACAGAATGAAAGAATAAATAAAACTGCATTTTAGGTATTTTACTTAAAGTACTTAGGAATCATATTAATTCATGACAGATCCCAACAGCAAAGCAGCCCAAAAACTTTGGTATTTGTATAAATACCAAATGTGTATAAGTGGGAATTCTCAAATTTACATGGTCATAAAGGCCCATTTTCAATTTTTATTTCATTCTTTGAGGAGATTACTTAGAGAAATACTTCTCTTGATGGTTTTTAGAGTCCTTGCATCTTCTAAACTGTCAGGCTTGCTTGCTTTTCTTTTTTTGTGTGTGTGTTGGTCAAGGGGCTTGAACTCTGGGCTTGGGCACTGTCCCTGGGCTCTTCAGTCAAGGCGAGCACTCTATGGCTTGAGCCACAGCACCAATTCTGGTTTTCTAGTGGGTTTATTGGAGATAAGAGTCTCAGACTTTCCTGCCTGGGCTGGCTTTGAATCGTGATCCTCAGATCTCAGCCTCCTGAGTAGCTAGGATTACAGGTGTGAGCTACTGGTGCCCCACCTGTCATGCTTTCTTAATGCTCAGATTTTCCAAATATCCCTTGGTTTGAGTAGGTCATTGGGATGGGACCCAGGAGGAAAGAAAGACTAGGGAGATGTCCATTGAGTTGGATGTTAGGAGAAAGGGTAGATGCAGTCAAGAAGAATGACAATTGTGAGGCAGGGGTAGATTTGGGGAGTCTGTGTGTAAGGTTGGAGAAAAGAAGGAAGCTGTCGGAAGAAGGGGAAGATGAAATCAAAACAGATTGGATGGCACTGGCCACTGGCTCCAGCAGGCACAGCCTGGTAGGCGGAGATCTTGTTTTCTTCCTTTATGTTCATAGTGGCTGCTCTGGCCAGCCTAAGCCTCCATTCCTAAAGATCCTCAAGGCTGCTTCATTAAGTGCAGTTAGCAATGGCAGGACTGGAAGGGACAGGCTACATCTGTACGTGGACCTGGCTCTCAAGACAAAGCGAGAGGGGCTGGAGAAGACAGTAGAGCTAAAGGAACGGTGAATGGTTCAGCTGCCTCAAGATGGTGATGCTTAAAGTGAAGGCAGGAGGAAGAGGTTCTGCCATCACAAAACAGCAGTGGCCCAGCCAGACATGGGGATCAGGAGAAGATAAACCTGAAACTATAAGCAAGTAGCTTCACAGGAGTTCTGCTTAAGAAACAATTGAGTCATGGATTACCATCTCAACCTTAGTTGTAAGCCTGATATTTATTCTCTGGAGAAAAAAATTTAACTTCTAGAAACATCAGGAAGACCGAAGGTTGAAAAAAACAGAGAAGGAAAAATACTTGACTTCTACCTCTCTTTGTAAGATTTGCTCTTCAAATTTCTTATCAGAGGAACCCAAATAGCACATAAGTAAAAGCTAAAAGACATTGTTAGTGTCTCAAAAGACATTCTGGGTAATGAAATCAAGTAGTAGGTCAGTTCCACTTAGATACACAAGGTTTCTAGTCACAATTATGTTTGCTTTATGTTTAATGAGCTTCACTTTTTTTGTGTGCCAGTACTGAGGTTTGAACTCAGGGCTTAGGCCCTTGCTCAACGTTTTTCTGCTTATAACTGCTTACATGGTTTATCACTTGAGCCATTCCTCTGGTCCTTAACATCACTTAAACATAAACTGACAAAGATTATCTGTTACTTAGAAAATTCTCCAGCATAAAAGATGGAGATCAACATACACCAAAAGATATAAAAAGATGTTAAAGAAAACAGATATGATAGAGACAAGTTTTCAAAAAAGTATTGTTATTTTGAAAGATGTAAGGCAATGAAGTGCCAAAAATATTTTTTAAATGCTCCCCAAAGAGTAATATACAGAGTCGGAAGACAAATTTAATTCAAAAGTCTTTAAATATATAGAAGTACTAAAGATGAAAGGATTAACAAACTAACAAATGTAACAGAAGAAGGGAATAAACCAAAAGAACAAAAACAAAGAAAAGATGCAGTATTTTTAACTTACAAAGTACCTAGAATTGCAAGATATGAGTTTCTAGACTGAAAAGGCTTGCAAATTTCCCAGAAAAATAAGACCAGCCCATTAGCAGTCATCATGGTATGATAAACTACCAGAGAGTCATGAAAGATTAAAAAGTTACAAAAGAAGAAGAAAAGTTTGAATAAAGGACACCGAATCAGAAAGGCAAAGAATTTGATAGCATGTATAGTGGAACTCCAAGGATAATAGAGTATGCCTTCAAATCCCTAATTTACAATTCTGCAAACTGCCATTCTTGTGTAAGACTAGGAAAAGAGACATCAGTCTGTGAGGACTTGAAGGAATGAAAGACAGTAAGACTGAAACAGAATGGAGGAATGTCTGGCAAAGAGGTGGCCAAAAACAACAGGCTTGACAAATACACGTTACCTTTCCAGTATCTAAAGGCAAATTGTTTTCTTTTTTGTTTTGCTTTCAATTGAACTCTATTTTTTATATTGATTAACCTTAAGTACTTGTACAAAAGGGTTTCAATTCAGTATGTCGTTTATATGCACAATGGGTCTTGTTAAGTGTCTCCCCTAAGGAAGAAGTGAGTAGCATAAATTTCTTTAATAGAATTGCTATCCAGGCATCCATTTTTGCATAATATAACTTTTTCAAATCCACTTGTTAGTGAAGATTCTTCCCAATGTGATTATAATGTAGTCCTTTGCTCCTCATGTCAGTGACCCAAAAGGGAACACTTCATAGTTGCTGACTAAAATAAACCAAATTGTCAATTCCAGAGTCATGTCAGTAAAGTGTTTGCTCTAATCTAGCCCATCTCCAACCCCATAGCGTCCTAGGACAACCTCAGTGATAATGCCCATGGTCCTTAAAAAATGGCAGAGTTCCACAGTCCACCGAGTCACTACCCACTTACCAGCTGACTTTCTGCACCTCCCATCCTCACCCCTCCAACACCTTCCATAATAAATTCCTCCTGTTCCTTGCAATTGGATTTCACCACATCCTTGTGTCTCGCCTGCCACACCCTCCAAACCTTCCTACAGTCAAGGATCTCCTAGAGAATGACGGTCTTGGCTCAGGGCAACTCTTTAACATAGTGGTGGAACAGATGGCCATGAAAGACAAAATCCTGGTCTTTGGTGGTGGCAAGCCAGGAGATAATGTTTAGTAAGTATCTACCAACTATCTAGCAAGTTACTCATGGGAGAGGCGTATAAAACATAAAGCCTAATCATATGTAATGCAGCTGCTCTGGGAAAGCAAAAGAGGGGGAGTATGATACTTTTCTCTAAAATGACTGAAACTGTTACAATTTTTTGACTTTGTGCTATGTAACTTTAATATCAAGTTAGTAACGCTTTTGCTTTCTGGTTTTTGTCCAAAGGCATCAATCCCTATAGCTTTAGATCTACTCCAGCCTATTCTCTTGGTTGTGGAGAATTGAAGACTGTTTTATTGAACTTTTTGACTTTTAACAAGATGAGAACTGTAAAGACAAACTAGCCAAGTATCTTCTGTTGAAAGTTTTCAAAGAATATTATTTAAAAATTTTTATTCTCAGGCTGGGAGCTGGTGGCTCACGCTTGCAATCCTAGCTACTCAGGAGGCCAAGACTGGAGGACTGAAGTACAAGGCCAGCCCAGGCAGGATTGTCTGTAAGATTCTTAGTTCCAATTTAAAAAAATGGGAATACTGAAAAATGGGAAATGAAGCCGTGGCTCAAAGTGATAGCATGCTAGTCTTGAGCATGAAAGATCAGGGACAACTTCCAGGTCCTGAGTTTAAGTCCAGGACCAGCACAAACATACAAAAAAAATACTGTCTTCCAAAGACACTTATACTGATAATTCAACACGTATTAGCATGTCCAGTTCATCTATTAAAGTTGTTCTAATTGTATTTTTATTTTAATTAATTATTTTTGTCAGTCCTGGGGCCTGAGCTCTGGGCTTGGGTACTGTCCCTCAGCTCTTCAGCTCAAGGCTAGCGCTCTACCACTTGAGCCAAGCACCACTTCTGGCTTTTCCTGTTTATGTGGTGCTGAGGAATTGAACCCAGGGCCTCATGCATGCAAGGCAAGCACTCTACCACTGAGCCACCTTCCCAGCCCTAATTGTATTCTTAAAATGTAGTCTACTCTCTAATTTAAAAGAGATCACACCGAGGAATTGCATGTTTTTCTTTGAGTTAAAGGTAGGAAGAGCTTTTCTTATGGAGCCAGGCACTGAGAGCTCACACCCGTCCTTGTAGCTACTTAGAAGACAGTAGTTTGAGGTCAACTCCAGGTAGAAAAGTCTGAAAGACTTAATCTCCAGTCAATCAGCAAAATGCTGGGATAGAGGTGTGGCTCAAGTGGTAGAGCATTAACTGATCAAACACAAGGCCTTGAGCTCAAACCCCAGTACTAAATTTTACTTGTGGACTTGTTTTCTTTACAAAATTACCTATGCACAAAAAACTAGCAATAGGATATTGTAATATACCTAAATCACATTCACAACCATCTTCAAACTAATTACCAAACCCATTGAGCTTACTATTAATATTGTTCAGTTTCTCTTAAAAATTGAAGTTAAAACAGGTCTTTTGAATTTTCAGTTTCATTATTCTTTTGTTGTTATTATTATTGTTTACCCCTCAAAAGAAAAGAAAGGTTAGTTACTTTGTATCTTCTTCCAAACCCAGGATGTCTTCAGTCCTTTGGTTTCATCATATGATCTAATCATTCTAGGAAAAAATCCGGCCACGTGTGCTTAAAATATAGCCATGGCTAGACTTTACAAAGGAATAAGGAGGACTTTTTTCCAAGTAGATTAACAGATTTGTTTTGATACAGGAGGATTAGGAATTCTCTAAATTATTTAAATTATTATTAAATTAAAATATTTTCCTTTCAGGTATGAGAAATCTGAAAATCAGAGAAACCAGCAAAAATCTTGCCAAAGAAGCTGGCTAGATATTAGGGGCTGCAGAAGGAGGCGGGGCGGAGTTCTTCAGATGTTGAAAGTGCTCATTGTTCCAGCACATGAAGAAAACCTTTCCAAATGAGACTCTGGCCAAGCCAGAGAAACTTTTCCATCCACACTTGAATGCGCTGCGTCTGAGAACCTCCATCTTGCAGGGAAGTATTCTCAGGCAGTTCTCAATTGTTTAACATGCAGAAAACATGTGGTGCTCCTTTTAAGCTTGAAAAAGAATTGGAACATACCTGTTGTTCCAGAGGTAAAAATGTAAAGACAAGTAGACTTGAGGTTTGAGGTGATGTGGTAGCTGCGAGGCACAGGGTCTTCTGGGGCTTCGCGCAATTCCTGTGTGAGAGAAGTCATGCCTGGAGGAACAGAGTCTTTCAGGCCCCAGACACTGACTTCTTTGGGGATGCTGGGGAGGACTTCTTCCACATTCCCGAGAAGATCTAGAAGGCAAAGCAAGAGAAATAGGCAAATGAAACTTGAAAGTCACAGCAATTTCTTTCTTTTCTTTCTCCTTCCTTCCTTCCTCCTTCTTCCTTCTTGCTTGCTCCTTCCTTCTTTCCCTCCCTCTCCCTCCCTCCTTCCCTCTCTTTCCTTCTTTCCATTCTCTCTCTCTTTCTTTCTTTCTTTCTTTCTTTCTTTCTCTTTCCCTCCCTCCCTCCTTCCCTCCCTCCCTCTCTCTCTCTCTTTCTTTCTTTCTCTCTTTCTATTTGAGACGGGTAGCTTTGAACTTGCAATGATCACCCCAAGACTTATCTGTAATGCTAGCTAGCTACTCAGGAGGCTAAAACTTCAAGGATTAAGGTTCAAAGCTAGCCTGAACAGGAAAGTCTGTAAGCTCCATCTTCAGTAAAATGTTACTGGAGACATAGCTCAAGTGGTAGTTGTCAACAAGAAGTGGAGAGCATGAAGCCCTGAGTTCAAGCTCTGGTACTGGTATATACACACACACACACACACACACACACACACACACACACACACACACACAAGCTCTGGTACTGGTACACACACACACACACACACACACACACACACACACACACACACACACACACACACACACACACACACACACCCCTATCTCAGCCTCCTGAATGCTTGGGTTACAGACGAGCATTCACCATCACACCCAACTTTATGGTTCTATTTCTTTCTTTTTTTTTTTTAAGCATATATTAATTGTACAAAGGATTCAATTCCATATGTATATGTAAAGTTTCACCCCCTTTCACACCCTCCCCACCCCATTTATACTCCTGTGAGATCCAGACTCCACTTAATGCTTAAGTAAACAATATCCTAAAGACATGCATATTAAAATACAGATATTAATATTTCATGTCAAGCCCTGAAATCAAATTTGTGTGAATAATGTGCCGGCTTCATTAAAAAATAAACATTAGTTGATTAATAATCATGAAACCTAGCAAGTATGGATTATGTCCACTCCTAGAAAATCATCATTGAGGACTTTTTAGACAATTGGAGATTAGGAAAATTGATAACCTAATAAATGATAGCGATTTTATTGTCATTCAGGTATATTGGACTTCAAACTCCACTACCTAAAATTTAAGAGCTATTCTGTATATTGTCCATTATAAAATTGTTTTCAAAAATTGTCTCTTTATGATTTATTGAATACTTCTTTTATTGATATGGGATAGATCCAAGCCACTACATCCTACTCAATCCTCTATCTAATTTTGTGCACTTTTGAAATAGTAAAACCAATTGTTTCTTTCTGGTCAGAGTCTCACCTACTGAGCCTAAGATGGAAACAAAATATCAAACACAGGCCATTTTAGTCACTGCAAGTATAAATTTTGAAATTCCCTAGAAACTATGGAGGGTATCATAGGAGTAAGTCTGTAAAAGATATTTCCTTTATGTATCTCGATGCATAATACTTTCTGTCAAACATAAAAAAATCTTTATTTTTCATCTAACCTTTCCTTTTGATCTTTAAAAAGCAGTTGCCTTCATGACTAAACATGATTTGCAGAAGTACAAGGGCTTGATTTTTAACCAGAACTTTGCACCGCACAATCTGAGTGCAACAGCTCATGAAAACAGTTTACAACTGTATACACTGCTGCGTGTGTATAGACATAGGCTTTTATTTATCATGAAAGAGAACCTAAAATACTTTAAAATAAGTTAAGAAATAAAATACTTTCAAATCCCACAGTAGGAGATTGCAGACTAGTATATAATTTTTAGATACCTGTTTATAACTATCATTTCATACTTGGGGCACTGAGAAAGTTGATAACTTTTCCTATTGCATTCACACTACAGTATCAAGATTCTGTATGACTTTTGTTCCCCTTACTAATTGCTAATGGAGCACTGCAGTAAACATGTAGTTAGTCTCCTCGGAGAGGATGCAAAAGGGACACTTCCTGGTTCCTTCATTCCTGTAGACCTAAGATGAAATCAGTGCTTCAGGCAGGAAACTTTTTCCACTTTATCAGCCCAGTGCTGAGATGAAGGACAAAGAGAACTAGAAAGGGTAATAGGCCTGGGGTTACTCCTTTCCTGAACACTAACTTGATTTTTGGTCCCATCCAAATATTATATAATAAAGGTTATTTCTTGGAAAATTCTATGCTGTAAATCATTGAGTATAAACATACATTATTTTTCCATACTTCTTTGTTAATCTAAGACTCCTTAAGAGATATTAGCATATATTTATTCATCTAAAGTGCTTAAATATTTTATAAAGATTCTTACCAGGAATCGTCTCCCTCATACCCTTTCCCCTCTCATGGAAGAAGAAGGGCTATAAACCAGTCAGATTGTACCCAAAGAAAGTGTCGTTTGTCCTACTTCAATTCCATTTTGTGGAGCAGCCCATATGCCTAATTTCTTGGTTAACTGGGCCACTAACCCGAAGACTTTTACTGATAGTTCAGTGTCAATACTTGTCATCAAACCCCAAGCTATTCCCAAAGGCAAGGATAAAGCTCAACTGCAAGAATGAAAATAACCCCCGGGAGGAGAGCAAGAGTAAGAGAGAAAGACAGCCCTGGGGTCTGGGCAGGAACGCGCCCACTGGGACGTCGAGCACCTCAGATTAACATGTCCCTTTTGCAATCATCTTTGAGAGCCTGATGACTGGAAGCCAGAAGTTAATCTGAAATGAAGTCAAGGTAACTTTCTTACTAAAAGCAAAACACACCGCTAGAGCTCCCGCAACCTAGAACTGGCCAGGTTTGGGTCTCTTGGAGTTCTTATGCACGAAGCGCAGGGGTGCAGGGATGCAGGGGGGTGCAGGGGCCGGAAGAAAGGAGCGGTGCCGCCCCCTGCCCGCCCCATGGACCGCAGGGACTCCCCTACCTCCCCCCCGCCCCGTGGACAGCGCGGATCTCTTCCCCGCGGTGATTTTTCCCTTCGTCTCTGCCCACCTACTCGGGAGTGACGGGGGAGGTGGGCAGCGCACCGCCACTGCCCTAGAACCGTAACACTATTCTGCGCCCCTGGCAAGCGCGCTTTACCGCGCAGCCCACAGTATCAGATAGGAACCCGGCGGGGAGAAGGCTCTGGAGGTCGGACGGGGCCCGTTCGCGTCCCCCGCGCCGCGCGCACTCTACCTCCGCCCACCACGAGCGCGGCGGGCGCGCACGCGCGCACGCAGTGCAGGAGCGGCCCGGCGCGGAGGCTGCAGTTGAGGAAGGCCACGGCGCAGCCCAGCTTGGCCAGCCCGAGCCACACGTGCACGAAGTCGGGCTCGTTGCTCATCAGCAGGGCCACCGTGTCGCCCCTCCGCAGCGAGGAGCGGCGCAGGAAGGCGTGGGCCACGCGGCTGCTCCTCCGGTCCACGTCCCGGTAGGTGTGAACGGCGCCCTCGAACACGAGGAACGGCTTCCCGGGCTGCTCCCGGGCCCGGCTCAGGAACCTGTCCAGCACGGTGACCGGCTCCCCGCGCCATCGGTACAGCTCCAGCCGGACCCCGAGGCGGACCACCTTCAGCAGGAACCGGAGGTCGTCCCAGAAGTGGGGGAACAGCAGTCCCTGCACCAGGCGCAGGGCGAGCGCCCCCGCCCCGAGTCCCGCCAGCCACGGCAGCAGCATGGAGCCGCGGGCAGGGGCGGCGCCGCCGCCGCCGGGGTCCCGGAGCGCGCGCTCCCCGCCGGGGAGACCCCGCTCCTCCGGCTTCTCCGGACCGACACCTGCAGCTCCCGCCGGCCTCGCGGGCGATAGCCTGCGAACAGAACCGGAGTTTCCACCCGGGTTAGCCCCTTCCCCCAAGAACGCTGGCGCCGAGCCTGGGGCGCGGGAGGGGGCCGCGGGACCGACCGCGGCGTTCACGTGCAGATGCACTGTGCGGGCGCCCCGGACGGGACGCCCATCCCGGCCCGGCAGGCCACGCCCACCCCCGCCAGCCACGCCCCTGCACCTCCAAACCTGAGCCCCGCCACCAGGCCGGCCACGCCCCGCCTCGCCCGGCCACGCCCCTGCGCCTCCAAGCCTGAGCCCCCCCCCCACCAGGCTGGCCACGCCCCTCCGAGCCTGAGCCCCCACCAGGCCGACCACGCCCGGCCACGCCCACCCCGCCAGCCACGCCCCTCCGAGCCTGAGCCCCCACCAGGCCGACCACGCCGGCCACGCCCACCCCTCCAGCCACGCCCCTCCGAACCTGAGCCCCCCCCCCACCAGGCCGGCCACGCCCCGCCGCGCCCAGCCCCGCCCCGCCCCGCGCTCGCACGCATCTTCCTGGCTGACCGCAGCGCCCGCCTTCGGCCCGGCTCCTCCCGCCCGGGGTCTCGGGTCCCGGCACTCTGGCTACTTTCTTGCAAAAACCCGAGGGCTTCCGCCTCCTCGCTCGGGGTTCCGGGCCCCGGGCAACTCGGCCGGGAGCGGGCTGGGGATGCGCGCGGCCTCCCGCGCACGCCCGCCCGTTCCCCCCCCCCCCCCCCGGTTCCCGCGCACCCCGGGTACGCGACGCCCGGGCGGCGGGACGGTCGGGGCGCGAGGTGCAAGCGTGTCCCGCGTCCCACGTCGAGGCTTTTCGAAGACGAAGGCAAACATGGAGACTAAGTTAACTCTGAAAACCACAGCAAAAAACCAGACTGTCGAGAGACGCCAAGGGGAGAGGAGAGGACGAGGAGGATGGGGGAGGGGGAGGACGGGGAGGATGGGGGAGGGGAGGACGGAGAGGATGGGAAGGAGGGGGGAGGGGAGAGGGGAGGGGAGGATGGGAGGAGAGGAGGAGGGGGGGAGGGGAGGACGGGGAGGATGGGAAGGAGGGGGGAGGGGAGGAGAGGAGGAGGGGAGGACGGGGAGGAGAAGAGGAGGGGGGAGGGGAGGACGGAGAGGAGAGGGGGAGGGGGGAGGGGAGGACGAGGAAGAGAGGAGGAGGGGGGAGGGGAGAACGGGGAGGAGAGGTGGAGGGGGGAGGGGAGGACGAGGAAGGGGAGGACGGAGAGGGGGAGGGGGAAGGGGAGGACGGGGAAGGGAGGACAAGGAGGAGAGGGGAGAGGAGGACGTGGAAGGGGAGGGGAGGGAGGGGGGGAGGGGAAGAAAGGAGGAGGAGGCAGTGTATGAATTGGACGTACAAAAGTAGAGTCTGAGAAAGTCAGGACTGTCTGAAGTATCCTCATGAAACATCAGAAGATCAGGTTGCTCTTTAAACAAAGTGTTTTCAGAATTCGGTGGGGTGGAGGCCGGGGCTGGTGGCTCCAGGCAGCTCTGGAGCTTGGTCCCAGCCAGCCCGGGAAGGACGGGAGACTGCAGTTCACCCTCCACAAGCTGAACGTGGGGCTGAGGCTCCAGGGGGAGGGGGCTGGCCTTGAGCACGAAGCTCAGGGGTAGTCCTCAGGCCCTGGGTTCAAGCCGCTGGACTGGAGCTGTGTATGTCTGTGTGTATGTATATATGCATGTATGTATGTCTCTGTGTGTGTATATACTTCTAGTTTGGAATTCTCTTGTTCTTAGAAAGCCTGGATGTTGTTTCTAATTGTAAGCATTCTGCCCACCTGTGGTCCTCAGCTCCACCCAGGCCTGAGCTGTTCCCCCCTTCCTCCGCCCAGACCCACCTGAGCTCACATCTACCTCACTTCCTACCCCCAGACCCTGCTGCTACCTGGAGAGTGGAGGCTGCCATGTGCTCCCTCTCTGGGGGAAATAGGGCTCCTCTAATAAACCTTGTCATCATCTTTCTCCTGTGCCTGCCTGCCTCCGCCTGGTCCCCTGGCATGGATATGGCTGATCCTTTCACGGATCCTTTCACTAATAATATTGATTTGGGAGCTGAAGTTGATATTTACATCCATATTTCAAAATAAGAAACTATATATGCTGCCTATTTCCTATCTTAAAAAAATAATATGAAGCTACTCATTGTAAGGTCCGCTCCTGAGCAGACTCCACCCTCCTGGCAGCAAAATCTCCAGCCAGTACCTGCGTTACCTAGGCAAATGGCACACCTGGAAGAGGTCACGTCTGCCTCTGCTGAGATCACATCTGGATTCGTTGTGGCCACACCTTTCCCCACCCCTACCTTAGATAAGGCCTAGCCCAGGTCCAGACACTCTCTTTCCCAGGTCTTTTCCCCAGGTCTTTCCCAGGCCTTTCCCATGGATGGCCAACATGGTCTGATGCCTTATTTGCAATAACTAGTCTGAGTCAAGCAGAAAAGGTCAGATAAGTTGATGTTAGGGGAATGAACCCCAAGATAAGTATACACATATTTCTCTTAATCAAATTCAGCAACGCTTCTCAGATTCCTCTTAGGAAATATAGAAATGTGAGATTTTTCTAAATAAAAAGTGTTGAAAATAAGGGATATTGTGACTGAATCAATGTGTAGGCTTTTCACCATTCTTTTCATCCCTGATTTAAATTTCTTTTCTAATCCACTTCCAGGCCATACTAAACTTTGTGCTGAGGATAAATTGTTTAATGAGTAGATCAAAGTAATACAATCAGACAATGGACCCTAACCATGCTCAGGCTTTTCCACTGTAATCTAAGAATTCTGATGCTGTGCTATCAAATCATTTCTCTCCTAAAGGCTAGTAAGGGAATTCTGAAGCAATCACCATTTGGATTTGGGAAATTTGAGTGAGAAGAAAGATCTCAAATGATGCTGCACTAGCACAAAGCATCACTATGGGTACTTGCAGAACGCTCAGACGCTGGCCAGCTTGACTTCATCTGGGGTTCCAAAGGGGGTGAGAGGCGGAGTGGAATCTGTTAAGACTCTTAGTATCTCTATAAGTGGTATACCTAAATTTCCTCTTAAGAATAAAGACCTACAGGAACCGAGGAGGAGATAATTTCTGAACTTACAGGGCAAAGAAAGTAATAGGGGCATGTGGCCCACAAGAATGCGCTGCTCAAATGATGCAAGAGGTGACATCGATGGAGATTCATTGCGCGTATCAAATGACATGTTGAACAGAAACCCTTTTATACAGCTACTTAAAGATGATGATGATGATGATGGTGATGAGGATGAATAAAAGAATGCTGTGCTCAGCTCTCTACACTCAAATCCTTAATGAGCTACTGATGTTGTTTCCACAGCACAGCCCTGTCACACTTCCCTCAGACTGCTCCAGACTGGGACATCCTAAGGTAGGCTCTACCTGCAGAGAGAAGCAGGCTTCCTCTACGGACGGCCTTGCTGGGGGATGAAGTGATCTATGTCTGCTAATTGATTTTATCCAGAGGAGAGGTAGCATTTCCCCCTCGTCAGGCATGGGAGTCTTCCATTTGGAGCAAGGCACCCATGGAGCAGTTAGGTATCTCATTCCCGCAGAAGCAAAGGAATCTCCCACCACAATTACTCTGCAAAGGGAACGCACAAGAAAAATAGCGATGGAAATGCCGAATTCAGGATTAATCTATTTCATAATTCAATTCAGAAACAGAACCCTGTAGGGTTTTAATCACTGCTTTCAGAATGTGATACCAACTTGAGCTTTGATGAGAAGCATACTGTTCCTGTAATCAAATGTTTATTGGTATTAATGATTAATCATTGGCCAGATTATAATTCCATACAAGGACTGTGAAGCAAACTCAACATTAAAGCTGAGGAGTGCTGTTAGAGACTCTGGAGCTATTAACATTACTACATGTCTTGGGCACATCAAACACTTTTTAAAACATAAAAATTTTACAGCACCAAGTAAGTGATCCTATAATAATAGTCTTGGAGCAAATCTTAAACCAATGAAATATTTAACTATCATTTTTTACCACTAATTACAAAATATAATTAGAAACTTATGCCAGTGTGGATTCTGTCAAGAAAGTATTTTTACACATGTATTTGCAAGAAGCCTTCTTATTTCCAGATACCTCTGGTTTGACAGCTTTCTCTTCCTCATGTTGGTGAAATTGACCATCTGGGATGGAATTTATGGAAACTTTTATCACTGACAGTGCTCAGGGCAGCTTCATTTCTAGTTTATAAGCCACTTACAGTGGCCATTAATGAGATTAATCAAAAGAACACTTTGGAAACACACTTTGCTGTACGTATTGATTTTCCTTTTTTCCCCCCATTTAATATGTCCTGGTAAGTACAACCTATCATTATGTAGAAATCCTCTTCATTTTCCTTATGGTTGCCTATAGCATACATACTATGACAATGTCATAAATTCTCAACTTGGTCTCTACTGATCTGCATTAAGGCTTATTTCCAGCCATTCACTATTACAAATAATATCACAATTGATGAGGCTGTACTTGTTACATACTTTTATAATTGTAAATTTAGGATAGTATCCTAAATCTGCGACTGCTGAGTTCAAGAACAAGCATATCTTTAATTTCTTTGGATAGAGTCAATTTCCTCTTTGCCTTGGCAGACTTACCATCAGTTTATGAAAGTATCAGAGAAGCACAAAATGTTCCTAAATAAGTATGGAAATATTTTCTGCACTTGGCTTACCTGTACTTTGCAGATATTGATGTGTGTGTGTGTGTGTGTGTGTGTGTGTGTGTGTGTGTGTGTGTATGGCCTTGTATCAAATCAGTCTGCTAGCATTATTTTCCAACAATCTCTGCTTATTTTGTCACAATCTTATAGTCCTTGTAATATTTCAAACTTTTTTTTA